GTACATATTATATGCTATAACTTTTATATAATTTTTTTTTTAATTTTCCCTTTCACAAATTTTTATTAAAATAGTTTATCATAAACTCTCAAATGTAAACCACCAAAACTAGATGTGTATAAGAGACAGGACATACACAGCCTTATTGTAAACTTTGTGAGAAAGCCACAAAAAAAAAAAAAATGACACACGTAAGTGAAAATTGTGATTTACATATAAAATATACATATTTAACGGAAGAAGAAGAAATTTATAGTAAGTAAAGTAAGAGTGAATTAAAGAAACGAAGAAATACAATACATTTAATGGGCAATGTAATCATTGTGAAGACAATAATCATACACAGACACACATCAAGAAGTAGTAGTAGTTATTGAGAAGGAAAATAATTTCACATTTGCAAGTTGCGAAAAATTGAACGATTGCGCAATTTTCCAGACAACAAACAACAAAACAATATGTTGATAATTTACTTTACTTACCACATTCACACATTTACGTATTTACAATTTATGATTTCACGAAATCTGGCAATCAACCACATAACTTACGCTACGGATTTAAAACTAAAGTACTCATTACACTAGAATTTACAGCACTCGCATACACTTTATATTAGAAAATGGAAACTTAAAAAAATAAATTAAAAAAATGTATTTTTTAAGTTTTTATTACATTAAATAAATATTTTAACATAGTTACGCTAAGTTTTGAAAAAATTGTACATACAAATTTAGAGCTTTCAGTTAGTAGCTTGAAAAACTCATTACAGATGAGTAAGATTTTAGCTTTGAAAATTGGGTGCAAAAAAATGACATTCTTGTGAATAATACATATAATGGGGAAGTCGAAAGTTTACCAAGTATCTAGTTCATCAAGAACTGAATAACCACCTCTCTATTTGAGAGAAAAATTGCAATGCGAAAAACTTTCATTACTCCACAACTTTGTATTTCACGTTTCATTCTAAATTTATCATATATTATAAACAAGCATATGTATATATTATACATATATCCAGATATGGTTTCGAGATATTGGAAAGAGT